CCTAAATAATATAGGGTAAAAACCACGGGCAACGGTAGAAGAATTTCACTATTAGAAAATAGGAATTACAACTTCTCTCGATCTACCAAGAAGAAACAATGATAAATCTCTCTTCATAAAAAGGAGAAAACAACTCTCAAGAAACTCTCTAAATTCTCTAGTATTGGGAGAAAGCTAGAATGATTTGGGATGGTTTTGAAGCTAAATAAGCTAGGGTATTTATAGTTAAAGTTTAAGGACTAATTTGTAAATACCCTAAATTGCAATGACTAAATTTTCAATTTACCCATTACAAAAATTCAACAAAATTGGTTGTCATTTGCACCACTTGCACCGAAATTAAGTGCTGCCAAAATCCCACCGAAAAGTGGTTGGCCACTTGTTTAATTTTCAACAGTTTCTTCTACATTTGTTTGGTTTTTGTTCATCACTGATGTTCAGATAACATGAGTTGTTGGAGTATATGGAGGACAAAATAAAAACAATTTAGTAAAATTATTGTCTCTATCTATCTCTTTCGATCTATCCTTAAAAATATATATTTTAACAAAATATAACATAAAAATATCAATGAATTGAAATAGTATTACCAACCATCTCTACTTTTAATAAAATGTTTTCATTAACTTGAAAAGAATATTATCTTCATTACATTAGAGTTGTGGGATTAACATTTAAAAGGGGATTTGATCGCACCCGTGACATAATATAAGTGTAATTGTAAATCTTATAACTCGTGTACGTATTTCATTTGATGTGTGTGTTTTAGCAATCATTTTAACTAAATTATTAACTAATGTGTGTATCAATCCCTCCAAGTGTCATGTTTATTGCCTTATATTTTATATTATATTCAAAACTATCAAATGTAAACATTGGTTATGACAAATAATAACTCTGTGTAGGTGTACAAAGTGACAAATACAAATTGAACAAAAGGAAATGACATAATTTTGAATTGATGGAATGGACTTTAAAATCTAAACACAAAGCATGACATAAAAGTTTCTTGCACTTTAAAACTTGTAGCTGTACTAACAAAATTTATGTATTTCCTACAAAAACAAGCTTTATTATGTTGTTATTATTTCCTGATTCAGACAAATTTATTATTCAACCAAAACAAACAACCATAGTCAATGTTAGAGGGGGGGGGATTGGATACAATCAAAATTACATTTCCTTAATATTAGAAAAAAATGAAATAAAGGTTAACAAAGTACACAACATATACAAACCAATAAATTAAAAGAAGTAAAATCATAGTCCATGTGTCGTTCACGATTGTGTTGATTGATTCTCTCCATATGATGTGATGACCTTCTGTTTGTTACCCGGTCTCTTGTATTTTGATTGTCCCTTATTTGTCATGCTCTTCATGTTGCCTTCTTTGGGTCATTGTTGTATTCATTCAAATATTATTGATCATCAATATATTTTTAAAATTTTAATTAAATATTTTTATTGTAATAATAACTACATCAATTGAATTAGTATTTAACAGTTTATGGTTAAAAGATTGTTTTCAATGAATACTCTTTTTTATTTTAGAAGACTGGAAAAGATGTTATAGATATCTAATAAAAAGTTGTAGCATAGCTCCCCATTTGGTCAAATCATAGCATAAATTATTCTTCAAGAAAATAAAGTTTTTTTTTAAAAAATGTTGTCACGAAGAAACTTAATGCAAAGGTTTATCGAGATTAATATATACTGCAAATGAAAACTTTACATTAATCCACTTATATGTTGATAGTTTTCATTTATTATTACATGACGGAGCAAGCATTAGGGTTTTCGTCACTGAACATGATGGAGTAGCGGTCGTCCACGGTGGTCTCAGTGATTTTGGAAGGGTCAGCAACTTTCCTCACGTGATTGGGTGGTGCCTTCTTGTCATAAGCTTGAGCCACGTAAGGGTTCGCCACCATCGTGTACGGCACATAAGGCCACAACTCCACCTTTTTCTTGGTCGTCTGCGCCGCCGCCAGCACTTTCTTTGGGTCCACGTAACCCGTCACCGTCGCCTTTTGCTGCTTCAAGTCCACGTCTACAGACTTGGCCCCCGCAAAACCAAAAACAAAAAATTGTGTTTAACCAATAAAAGAAATGAAAATGTCACCATACTAGAATCAAAATGATTCAACTGAATTATGGAGTATTATAATTACCCTTCACTCCAGAGAGCACCTTCTTGACCTTACGGGCACAACCTTCACAATCCATCCTTATTTTGAGATCTACGGTTTGAGTTTGCTTCTTCTTTTTCTTCTTCATGTTGCTGAGCAAATCAGAGATGTAATCCAAGGTGCCTTCAACTCCCATTTTGACTTAACTCGGATACAGCTTCAGAATGAAGAGTTTGTTGATCTAAACAAGAGAAGAGATAGACTTAATGGAGCTTGGTTGAAGAGAATGAGTACTCCACACTTTTGTTTGTTTGGTCTGAAATAGTAAAGACTGGAGAGGGAGGAAGAAGGTAACAGGTCGTCACTAGCTTAGCTTCTATGGGTTTTATAGTGACGAAAGTAAACGCGTTCTTAAAAAGGAAATTAAATTTAAAACAAATTTAGAATTAAAATAGTTTGTTTGAGATGACTTTAATTTAATTTCACTACTAAGATATCATGAAATGGTTTCTCCCAGAAACTTCTTTAACTACTCTTGCTCTTTTTTTATATGAACAGATACAAAGTAAAGCAGTTTTAACTACCCTTGGGGGAAAATTAATAAAAATATAGAAAACGAAATATTTCATAATTATTTTTGAAGTTAAAAATAAATAGTTTCAATTTTGTTAAAAATATTATTGGATTTACTATACGTCTTTAGCGAATTAAAATACAAACCCATGCATTGAATATGGAAAACTTGGTTTTCATGTTGTTGTTTCCCCCCCCCCCCCCCCCAATCAATGTGCTCAATAATGAAGGACTCGTAATAAGACATGTTGTGCTTTGAATGACATCAGAAGTTGCCACGCACTAGGAAGACCAGAGACACACGTGGATATGGAAGACTCAAAGTGGGGTTGCTCTGGATAAACCTGTTGGTTGCCATCCATCTCTCACAAATTATTACTCTATGATTTTGGCGGTGAGTTTGTAGCAAAACGAACATTAAATTGTTGATATAATTATTTTTTTAATAATTAAAGATAATATTATTATTTGTTTAGAATCTTTTTAATTGTTAATAATTTATGTATATTTTTAAACGTAATTATTTAAATTGAAAATTTCAAAAAATAATAATATTTTTTATAATTATAGATAATTTAAGTATAATCTATATATATAACTATTTCAACCCAAAATTTTAAAAGATAATAATATTTTTTTAATCATTAAACTCTTTTAATTTCGTTAATATAATTATTAAACATCGAAAAACTTTGAATTAATATAAGAATCGCAAACTTTAAAGGGTTTTGTATTTTTAAATTACCACCTTGTATTTTATGTATCCAAATCTAATTGTGAATGTAGGGTCCCCTTCCTCAATGCACATGAATATATTCAAACACAAATCTTGTTTTATTATTACTTTAATCATATTTGTAGCAATGGCTTTTCTAACATCTGACGAGTCCATCCTATTCTGCAATCTAATTAATTAGACGATCATCTTTATATATTTTTTTTATCTTTTAAAATCCAGCCTTATTTGTGAAGAAGCAGCAAAATCCAAATTTGTGAGATAACTTTTACATAATTATAGATTAGTGCAGCATATTAGCATGGTCACCCAGCGCCCATGACGCCTAAACAAATTTTCTTTTCACCTTTTTCATAAATAGGGTAAATTACACAAACTGTACCTTGACTATAGGATATTATTTTGTTGAGTCTCTGGACTATGTAAAGTTACAAAATGGTCCTCTAACTATAAGAAATTGCTTTATTGAGTCCTTCGACTATAAAAAGTTACAAAAATGGTCACCGACTATTCATAATGTTTCAAACTCATCCTTTTTTGTTAGAATATTAACGACGGTCTGAGTTGGGTGTTAACATACTTACTGAGATATGATTAAAATATGTTCTCATAATCTCAAACGATTATAATATCTCCAGTTCAGATGATTGTTATTTTTTTTAATGGAAAATGATGAGTTTGGAACATAATGAATAGTCGGGTGATCATTTTGTAACTTTTAATAGCCGAGGGACTCAACAAAGCAGCTCTCTATAGTCAGGGGACTATTTTTTAATTTTTAATAGTTAGGGGACTCAATAAAATAGTATCTTATACTCGGAGGATCATTTGTGCACTTTACCCTAAAAAGTTTGACTGGAAATTTGAATCTGACATTCATTTTATTTTTAAAATTTGAGTTTGATTTTAAATGAAAGCATATTATGGTATTACTCGATCAAGTATTTAAGCTGACATTCAAGATTCAATGTTTCCTTTCGTTTGATTATTTCTCTTTCACTCTTAACCAAAACAAGTGATGGATGAATTCATGGAATTTAATTTTATTAACCATTTAATCATTTAAAAAATTGAATAAAGAATGAAAACCTAACATCTGGCCTCCTTATTTTCGTGGCACAGCTATTGAATATCGACCCCCCACCAATATTTGGTGAAAGGGAATCAATTACTATTTGACAACATTTCAGATTCATCAATATCTTTCCCTTCATAATTTTCAACCTAGCTTAAGGCACTTTGGATTATTTATCAGCTATTGCCTGTTGGGGGTATGTTTTATGTTAACGTCAATAGAGTCCACCTCTACTTTCGACAAAGATCAGATTTGACGTTACAAATTATAAAATTCAATTTTAAATCACATCAAATGCTCCTGTGGTAATCTTGATTGAATATTTTACAAGATCTTGAAAATAACTCTCCGCTCATGCTTTAGGTGTTGTTAATCTGATTGACAAAAACTTGAATTTATTTTTCACTTATTATAACTAAAATATGCCCAACTTAGATTTACCAGGAGGAAAAAAAAAGCTTTTACAATGAATCCCAATCCGTAAAATTAAAAGAAAAAAATTGGTACGATGTTCCTTATTTGGTAAAGCTGACAAGAATTGATAGGATTTACATGAGAAATGATTATGGAGTTACGGTTAAAGTAAAAACCTTAGCAGCAGCAGTAGGAATGGACTGAATATGCAGAGCAGGGTGGGAATTTGCAGTGGCGAAGCCCAAGAAGCCTTTGTGGAAGCCCTTTCTGCGACTGCTGGAACAACTGCTTCTGTATTATTGTTGTGCTGTTGCTCATTTGTCGGCAATGGAATCTGAGATCCACTACTGGGAGGTGGTGCGAGATGTATGCCTGATTTGTCACTCACGTCTTGACCTGCCGGTGCAATTTCGAATTCACTTCGGTAAGAAAGAACATTTTCTTTTGCATAATGAAAGATTTAAAGAGGCAAAATTGAAGCATAGGGAAACTCTAGCGCTGCTTCTCAACAGAAAATATGATCAATACCGGACGTTTCAGGAAACAAAAGTAACGTAAGCAAGCAAGCTATAAATACTAAGTATAGGATTCACAAAGCTAGGCTTAACAGAGCTTCTGTATAATTAGGCTTAACAGGATTCGCAAAGATTGATCAAGAACTCATTCATCAACCATTAGATGAAGAAAATAATGAATTGCATGATGAGAGGCAGCTACTGTATTAACAAGGGCTTTAGCATCCTATCAATTTCCATTCTTACGCCTTGTAACTAATCAGTTATAAAATATAGACAAATAAACCCAAAAGAAATAAACAAGACGCATGATATAGCAAATAGAAAAGGTGGAAACATATACTCTGTTACTTACAGTTGGAACGTGACCAACCCAACTTCATATTTTCACGATCAAAAACAATGTGATGGCCTGTCATGAAGTTTTCTGCAACACATTTGTTCATCCAGTGTCATTAAAATATGCACACAACGTGGCTAGAAGATTGCAAAGCAATAAAATAATGCAAGGACATCCAAAAGCCAGAGAATAGACTCACGTCCGATAACACCAAATTCATCTTCTCCACGTAAAACAGTTAAACAGAATACTGTAAATACCTGCTCAACAATGTCAAGACAATTTACGTTTCCTTCAAAAAGATAAAATTTTAGGAGCAGCCTAGAGTATGCTCGGAAACCGAAAATCTAAAAGATACTAACAAATGAAAAGATACTAACAACTTTCTTTATTTTTAATGGCGGCTGACCAAAACGTAATATTATGTATGATTTTGAGAAGAAAAAAAATAGTTGGGTGACTAAAACGGAACTAAGTAATAGTTGAGTGATTAAATATATAGTTTACCCTAATCTTTAATAATAGATTTTTTATTCTAATGGGTATAGAATCCACATCCTGGAAGAGAGGGAGGTGTAAAAGAACAAAAATCTTATGAATTTATTTAATAAAACACACTATATAAGTTTTAGCTTAAATATTTACATATATATTTTTGAGGTAAGACTGACACTCAAGTTTTACTCGTTAATTTTTCCTCTAATATGTTGTCAAAAATATCGAACCAAAGTTAGACGTCCGAAATGGAAAAGTGGGGAGCAGTGGGTTCATGGCACTTTTGCTCTTATCCTTATCTTACAGAAAGTGATGAATTCTTTGTAATTAAAAAAATGGAAATCCCAAAAAAAAAAAAAAAAAGAAGAAGAAGAAATGGGTTGAGAAAGTAGAAGCTTGTAATGTCGTAGAACCTAATTCCAATTATGCAAAGTAATTAAAGATGCTAAATCCTCTAACACTTATCACAAAAGCATATGTTTTCTTCCACACAATTGTTCCCTACTCTCCAATCATGTATCAATTGTTGAACCCCCCAACGTGATTTTGATGTCTTTCTTTTAACCTTAATTTTTGTTATCCTTTGTACTTCATTAATCAAAGGGAAAAAGTTTTAAAACATATATAGCAGATATGTCGCATGTTTCACCTTGCTATTGTGTCATAGCAGCACTAACAAACTTATTATATGATATTTCTCTTTTTAACACCTGTAATAATTTGCAAACGGAAGATGGGATGGAGAAAAAACCTAAATGGTAGATAAAGGATTTGACATTTTAGTTTCTTCCATCATCAACATCTTCAAATTTGACTGCCAAGTTTCATCATCTGTCCCTTGTTCATGGGGTGGGCAGGATTGCTATCTTGCCAGGAATCTTCAATTTTGACTGTTTCCAGTTTACCTGTCATTGGCATAAAAAAGCTGAATTGGTCTCAGATTTGGACACTTATTTAAATTTGAATATGAAACGTGACACCTAAATCCGATTAACATAGGTGGTGAGGTGGAATTGTGGCTGCCGTTCCAAACCCAAAGCATCTGTCAACACCAAGCATCTGCACAAGTTTTGTCACCACACATTAAAATAAAGTAAAAGGTATAGAATTAAACATGAAATGGTTGACAGATTCTCCATTTTTCATAATTATATCTCTGTGATAATGATTCTTCGTTCCTGTATTATTAGTTTTTGAAGTATGATTCTGTTTTCCAGGCAGAAATCATATGTGCACAGTTGTCTTCACTGATTTCATCTTTACCATCAATAGCTGCAAACTTTACATGAAATTCTTATGTTGCAGGCTTTAATATCTGGCAGTGAATCAACATGAATCTTGGTGCCAACCTGCGGGTTTCTTTAGTCCACCACTGGTGGTGGTCCTGGTAAACCCAGTCAGATAAGGCAGGCTTGCTCATAAATTATTCATAATTTTTCTAACGTTGCTGTCACCAACAGACAGTTGATCAAATATCATAATAAATACTACCAATAATAACATCTCCATTATTTTGATTGAACAGTGAAATTTCTTGTTTTATACATTTTTATACATTCCAAAAGTTGAACTTCACATAAAATCCAATATCTAAGTCAAAAAAGGAAAAGGAAAAGAAGAAGAATCTGAGTAAAACATGTCATTCCATTCACACAGATGATTTTTGTATTCACCACATGAATTAATAAATTGCATTTATTTTCATTTGATGGAGTATAACTTAGTGGGGTTATCTTAAGGGTGATAAAATGAAAGTTTAACATCCTACATAATATCATTAGATTTTTGTTAGATTTGGGTAAAAAAATAAAACTCACTTTAAAAAGTTCATTTGTGTGGTCTCACCATTCTTTCTTTCAACATCAAGTTGCAAAGCTTCTGATCTTCATCCTCTCATCTGTTCATTCTACATTTCTGAATTTTAACCAGTCCCAGTTCTTAGGTAGATATCAAACCACTAAAAACATACTGTTTTTCTGCAGAAAAAAACATACTGTTTTTCTGCAGAAAAAATCATCTGGTTTTTTGGTAGTTTCTTCTCAAATGTTTGTTTCCCTCTACAAGAAGCAAAGTTTTTAACTTCTTCTGCACAGGAAAAAAAAGAGGTTTTTAACAGTTAATCTGATTGAAGATAAAGAAAAACAATAACTGGGTTTAGTTGAGATTAGCGTGAGAGTTTGAGGCAAGCGATTTCACCTATGGCTGGAGAAGAATTGGTGGAGCTCAAATTCAGGCTTGCTGATGGAACTGACATTGGTCCAAGCAAGTACAGTCCAGCTACCACTGTGGCATCTCTCAAAGAGAAAATACTTGCTCAGTGGCCCCAAGGTTAATTGCTCAACTTTTCTTTTCATTTTTCACCTGTTTATCAATTGTATGCAATGGATTTTGTACTTTTATCATGTAAAGTGTCCTTTTGTTATTCATTATTTCGAAAATCAAAATGATCTGTCTCAAACAAAGTCTTGTATTGTTCCTTATGCTTGCAAAATAGTCTAGTGAACTGAAAAGTGTGTTATATTCTTGGATCCATGCCATAGGAACTCAAAGGCAAATTGTTAAATCTCATCAGAAACATTTTACCTGTTAAAATGCTCCCTTACTATGATTTATATCTGAATTATTGTGTTGTTTTATTGTTATAACATATAGCTTAGAAAACCCTAACCAGAAGGTATCTCTGCAACCCTTTTCCTTGTCCCGAGTGGCCTTCAAAATTGTGATTGGGGTACATAACCGTATTCTGTTTTCATATGGAAAACTCTTCTCTGTTTTGTAGACAAAGAAAATTGCCCAAACACAATACAAGATGTGAAGCTAATCAATGGTGGAAAAATACTTGAAAACAACAGTACAGTTGCTGACTGCAGACTTCTGCTTGGTGAATTTCCGAGCGGCGTAATCACGATGCATGTTGTTCTTCGCCTTCCTCTGTCAAACAAAAGCAACGGTAACCAATGACCCTTATGTATTTGGTTTGTTACACACCTGCTGTTGTATTTTCGGTTAGTGAAGCTTTGCACAAACAGAACTTCTAAAAAGACATTGGAGTTTATGTTTGAAGACGAAAATGAACACTTGCATTAACATTCTCCCAACAAAAAGAATCGCCTCCAGAACTATCATTTCTCTCATTTGATTTTGTGCATGAATTTCATAAGATCCATACTAGTTTTCGATGCTTCTTTTCTCTCATTTAAACTATGGACCTAGCAAGTCATATATCCACGCAGTACTTGTATCATTTAAGTGTTTAGGTGAATTTTAATATGCCAAAAATGTATACATCCGTGTTCTTAACTCGTGAAATCTTATCCGCAGAGAAACAAGATGATTCTCCAAAGAAAAGCAGCTGTTTATGCACAATCTTGTAGCTGCCTAATGGGATTGCTGTTGCCACTTCCTTCAAAGAAACTTCCTGTTATTTTATGTTGAAATTGCCATGTGGAAATACAGCATTTGGAAACACAGCAAAGTAGCAAAGTATTGAATCAGAATGTGTTATTCTTTATTGAACTATACTACTCTATTTAAACAAGAGTTTACAACAACCTTATGTAACCGTGTAACTGCATACAACTAATATAACAGCTTCCTACAACTAACCATACTCATCAACTACTAACTTCATCATTCAAAACTACTAACTTCATCATTCAACATTCTCCCTACTTCTTCTTCTTCTTCCCAAAGGAAAGGCTGCACATTCACCTTGGCCTTAAGCACCTCAAACCGAGCAGCTGCTAGTGGCTTTGTGAAACCATCTGCAACTTGATGACTTCCTGGCACATAATTCACCAACACTTGCTTCAACGCTACCTTCTCACGAACAAAGTGAACATCGAGTTCAACATGTTTACTCTTCGCATGATAAATTGGATTTGCTTTCATGGCTACAACACTGCTGTTATCACACCAAACTATAGGAGTTTTCTTCCTTGTAACGCCCAAATCATTTAGAAGAGTATTCACTCACATTGTTTCAGCAGTAACATCTGCTACACTTCTGTACTCAGCTTCCATAGTCGACCTGGAAACTGATTTTTGTTTCTTAGAGTTCCACATCACTAGGTTGTCACCAACAAACACACAATAACCTGAGACAGACTTGCAATCATCAGCACTTGCAGCCCAGTCAGCGTCAGCGAAGGCCACTACATTGAATCCTGCTACTGCAGGTGCAATGACCAGGCCATGGTTAATTATTCCCACCAAGTACCTCAAGATTCTTTTAACAGCAACAAGATGCTCTTGCCTTGGAGCCTGCATATATTGTGTTGCCTTATTGACGTTGAAGGTTATGTCCGGGCGGGTGTGACACACATACAATAAGGCACCTACAACGCTTCGATATTCATATGCATCTTGAAGCAATACCCCCGCATCATGACTCAACTTGGCAGATGCAAGCATTGGTGTGGCAGCAGGATTAGCAGTGCTCATCTTGGTCTTCATCAGCAATTCAAGGATAAACTTCCTTTGGCTGAGAATTAACGAGCTACCACAACGTTTAATTTCTATACCCAAAAAGTAATGTAATTCACCAAGGTCTTTTAGTGCAAATTCCCTGCCAAGAAATTTCACCACTTCTTCAATCTGAACAACTGAACTCCCAGTCAGCACTATATTGTCAACGTATACAAGTAAGTAAACGCAGTATCCCCCTTCCCAGCGAATAAACAGAGAGGTGTCTACTGAAGATTCTTTGAAACCGAACTTAAGTAGGGAATTTTTCAGTTTGTCTTGCCAATTCCGAAGGGCTTGGCGTAAACCATACAAGGCCTTCTCTAATCTACACACCAAGGGACTGCCGTCAGCTGCAACTTACTCGAAGCCTGGTGGCTGCTGCATGAAAACCTCTTCATGCAGATCACCGTGCAGAAATGCGTTGTTCACATCAACCTGGCGTAATTGCCAGCCATTGGTAACAACTATTGAAAGCACCACATTCAACGTCGCAAATCGAACAACTGGACTGAACGTTTCTCCAAAATCGTGTCCTGGTATTTGAGAGAAACCTTTGGCTACTAACCTGGCTTTATACCTACTAACAGAGCCATCAGGGTTCTTTTTTACTTTGAACAACCACTTGCACCCCACAACTGAGCGACCTTCAGGTAATTTAACTAAAGACCACGTGTCATTCTTCGTTAACGCTTCAAATTCAGAATGCACAGCTGCTCTCCAGTGAGGTGATTGTAATGCTTCATGAACATTAAGGGGTTCCATGTCTGCATAACTGGCCACAAATATTTTAGGCTTAAATATCCCGCACTTACTCCTCATCATTATCGAAGGACGATCACACTAGAAACATTGTCATCTCTTGAGGAGGTAGTATTATCAACTGGAGCAGTTACTGGCACAAGTTGACTCGTATCAGCTTCAGTCGTGCCATCTTCTTCATGTATATCTTCATGAGCAGTAGCTTCAAGTGAAGACTCACCCAGGTCAATCATATTTTGGCCAGTATGACCAGAGTTTTCACCAACATTATCACCATTTGTACTGGCCACTTCCTGTGAAACTGCTGCAGCTAATTCGGCTAGATTCATATCATTGATTGTTGTTCTTGAGCCTAGACCAGCAGTATTATCTCGAAATTGTTTCATGTCAGCAATAACTTTAAGTTATGCAGACCTTAGTTTATTGACTTGATTAACGTCACCCAATCCTCCAGTCCCTACAAATGGAAATGTAAACTCATCAAAGATAACATGTCTGGAAATATATATCCTGCCACTAGTTGCTAAACACATGTAGCCTTTGTGCCGAGGGCTATAACCAAGGAATATACAAGGCTGGGAACGGAACTCAAGCTTGTGTTGTTGAAACAATCTTAGGTGAGGAAAACATTTACAGCCAAAAACTCGCATGAAATCATAATTTGGCTTCTGTTCAAAGAACTTCTCATAGGGCGACAATCCTTCTAAAACTCTAGTAGGAAGTCGGTTGATGAGGAATACCGCTGTAACAGCTGCATAGTACCAGTAACGCAAAGGCATGGTAGCTTGTGCTAACAAAACCAGGGCAAGTTCAATGATGTGTCGATGCTTCTTTTTGACCACACCATTCTGTTCAGATGTATGCAGGCAGGCAACACGATGAGCAATTCCTTCTCTTAACAGCACAACTGAGAGATTGCGATACTCTCCACCCCAATCGCTTTGAACAACCTTCACAGCCAGTCCAAATTTAGTTGTCACCATATGTTGAAATGCCTTAAATGTGTGAAAAGCCTGTGACCTATCTTTCAAAAAATAGATCCAAGTGTGCCTTGAATAAGCATCAACAAAAGATAAGTAATAGCGAAAATCATTCGAGACTACATGAGCTGGTCCCCATATGTCAGTGTATACTAGTTGGAAGGGTTTAGTATAGACAGTTTTAGAGTAACAGAATGGCAGCTTATGGCTTTTA